ATATAGCTAGAGAGGTATAATATGTATATAAGAAAGCTAGATTACTTAAGTTTATAGATAGAGTATTATAGAGCAGATAGGTGTCTAAGATAGAGCTCTAGGAGGTATTAGCAAGCGCTCTGTTACTCTTAGTAACTATATAATCTATTACTACTATTTTCTAACTATTTTGTAAACTGCCTCTCGTTTCTAAAAGATAAGTAAATAAAGAAAGTACGTATTCTATAGTTACTAGTTAGACTAGAGAGGAGTTACTGCCTAATCGCCTATAATATCTAATAATTATTAATTAACTACGTTAGTCTAGGATATGTTTAGAATAGGTTACCTATATTAATAATTAATTATTAGTAATAAGTCTTAGTTTTCTGTTACGTTGCGCTTTCTCTGCAGTTTATAAGCCTATTTATTAAAAGCTGCTAGCGCATTTATTAAAAGCAGCTTCTCTAGCGCGCTATTAATACTAGTTATGCCTAGAATCTCTATAGGCAGCGCTCTTGCAGTAGAGTTTATATAGTATTCTAGTTACTAAGAGTTATAGCTATATAATATGCGCGTAAACTAGTAAGCAGTGCGCTTAGAGATAATAGATAGAGTACTCTATTATAGTATGTTTCTAGTACGTAGTAGAACGTTAGCTGTAGCTAGTAGTATTAGTATAGAATTTTTCTAGTAGCTTTTGCTAAGAGCAATGTCTTAATTCTTAGCTACTATTGTTATAGGTAGCAGTTCAGTATATAGTATGCATGCATATATTGTTATAGGGAGCTAGTCTCCCAGAGCTATCGACTATATATAGATGCTAAGCTAGTCATGTAACAGATGTTAAGAGTTGGGTTGTGATTTGCTATGTATGTTCCTGATATCATTATGCCCTACCTACAAAGTTTTGTCTTCACTCGTTAGCAGATTTTGAGCATTCACGTAGTGCGTTATGATAGTTTCAATGTTAAGAAGGGGACCTGCGCAACTACCGCCAGCTGAGCATACATAGTTCTCGCATGCTCTTATTGTCGGTCGTCGTATCAGCCCCTTCGCAGGTATCTTATACAGGTGTTCCGCCTCGAGTCGTCGAACATAGAACATTGTCGCTACTCGTTGTACTGATGCAGCTTCAGGTGCGCAATTGCATTGTCCAACCATGACGGTTGTGCGCAAAGCCAGCGCGCGCATGCTGTGTACCGCACTCCTCTCGACCACGCGAGGTCAAAGGCGCGGTAGCTAATAGGACGGCTTGCTGTTGACGCAGAGGACGATCGAAACATCCGCTATCATGGATTGAGAACCGTACTCGGGTCGGTGACATGGTAGGACTTGTACAGACCGTTCTGACTGGTATGATGTTGCTCGCCGCCCCATTATTCAAAGTGCAGCACTTGGCTCCTGTACTATCACATTGCTGCGGCAGCTCATGGCAAACAACTGCAGCAGCGAAGCATGCCAAGGGCGGACCAAGACCTCTTATCACGGTCCTAAGCTCCTACAGCTTTTCTAGGAGTCGCCATTGGTGCATCGGTGGTCCCTCTCGTGTTCGCAGGGCAAGCCAGTGCCCAAATAGGCAGGTCAGTTGGGCAACTTCCTTTGTGAGCCGCTCACCCTGTATGCTCTGCAACGTCGGCAACGTCAACTTTTCTGGTCGGCGTATGTCCTGTGCGTGGCTGAGGTCAGCGATGGTTACAAGGCAGTTACTAAGTCCTATAAAGTGAAGAACCTCTGCTCAAACTCGAAAAGAATCACCTCGCGCAGAAACATCCAAGCTCATTTCAGGCAGAGCAGATATCATGTCTACTGTGAAATCGCTCGTAGTGTCTATCGCGTGTGTTTTAGCGACTGCTAAAAGTGTAGCTGTTGAGCCGCGCCAATATAGGACGCAAGTCACATCAGTAAGTCCGGTTTTGAGGGTACATGACGTCTGTTTGCTAACATGGTCTGTGGGAATCGCTCATAGACACACTCCACATCGACAATCTATTCGCGAAAGCAGAGATCCTTCAGTCTATCGCGTATGCGACAGAGGGAAAGAATCGCGTCATCGGCAGCCCAGGCCACGAAGCCACTGTTAAATGGATCCAAGACCATCTGGATACAAGCTACTATGACGTTTCACTGCAAGGCGTAGAACTCAGCATTGGCGTCAATGCCACATTGACGGCAAACAACAAGACCATTGAGGCCTTTGCAACTACGCTTGCCCCCAATGGCAACGCCACGGGATCTCTTGTTGCGATCCCCAATCTTGGCTGCGAAGAAGCTGACTTCGCAGAGTCGTTGGACGGCAAGATCGCGCTCATCAAGCGTGGCACATGCTCGTATGGTGTTAAAGTGCAATTGGCAGCCGCTAAAGGAGCATCTGCAGTAATCGCCTACAACAATGGCGAAGGCACACTTGAGGGCTACTCGCTGCAGGTTTTCTCAGACCCCGCAATGCCATTCGTCCCTACGATTGGTATCACACAGGGCCAGGGCGAGGCGCTACTCGCCCAGCTGGAGAATGGCGTCAGCGTCAGTGTCGCATTGACCTCGGAAGCCAAGCTATACACCACCTACAACGTTATCGCAGAGACTAAGGGGGGTGACCATGATAACGTAATACACGTTTCTGGTCACTCTGACTCTGTCACTGCTGGTCCTGGTATCAACGACAATGGCTCTGGAACTATCTCGTTACTGGAGGTTGCTATCCAGCTGACCAATTTCACTGTTGTCAATGCTGTCCGTTTCTCTTGGTGGACCGCTGAGGAAGCTGGTCTTTTGGGGGCAGAATACTACGTCAAGCAATTGTCTCAAGCTGAGAAGGAAAAGATCCGTCTGCTTCTGGACTTCGACATGATGGCATCTCCGAATTTCGCTTATCAAATTTACGATGGTGATGGTTCGGCATACAACCTCACTGGCCCCGCCGGTTCCGCCGAAGCTGAGCACGAATTCGCTGCCTACTTTGATAGCATCGGACTCAACCACACCGAGATAGAGTTCGATGGTCGTTCTGACTACGGTCCTTTTCTCGAGGCTGGTATTGCTGCTGGTGGTATTGCCGGCGGTGCAGAAGGTATCAAGACCCAAGAAGAGTTCGAGATGTTTGGTGGCGGGGCAGGGTGTGCCATACGATGTTCAATTACCATGAGAATGGCGATACTGTTAACAGCTTGAACCGTGAAGCTTGGATCGAATTCTCACGTGCAATTGCACACATGACTGCAAAGTACGCTGTTAGCTGGGAGGGTATCCCCCCTAGAAACAGCACCGCAATGCAGAAAAGAAGCAAAGATTACAGTATAATGAAGAGAAGCGTTTCAGAGCACAAAGGAGATATCAAAGCTGGGTATAGATTAATTATACGATTGGCTTATGTTGTTCTTAAACTGTAGGGTGAGAATGCAGGGCAGACTCTAAGCTGTTTCCATCGCAAACCAGGTCTCGCATTCCCTCCATATCTTCAATACTCTATAAAAGATAGTAAAATTTAAGATTTGTGCCCATGAGATCCAGAACTAACTGGAAAGATCTCTAGATGGAACGAAGATTTGGTCGTTAGTACTGGTCGTGATGTTGTAAGACCATCACCAAAATAACGCATCTATGCCATCATGACCATCCTTTCTGAACCTACGGCATTGCGGTTGCCTGACCAAATTTACCGAGCCTCTCAATCGCGCTAAAAACCTTAATTATGGTTAGTAACCTAAAGTGAGATGTGGCTTTTTGAATTCTAGACTTACTGCGCTCAACGAAGTCCACACTGAATCTTCATGAGGACTCCATTGGCGAGGACGCACTACGACCATGACGACAATTAGGGGCAGCAGTCGTAGGCCAGCGTCCAACGCATTGTCGTTTCGTGTGAACTGAAAGAAGAGATGAACAAAATAGATGGGGACGAAGGCAGCAGCGCCGGATGCCGCCGTGGTGGCGAAAAGAATGAGGACGGTCCTTCAGCGGAAGAGTTGGACTGGGATGAGGCGCCGGAAGGCATGGTGAAGAGAGCTCACATCTGCTGAATGCCAAGCATAATGAAGAGAACGTCAGACGCGACGAAGATGCCAATGATCAGACCTGAACCCCAGGAATAGGTGACACCGCCCCAGTTGATTGTCAAGACGAGAGTCGTTAAAGCTCCCATCAGTGACGCTGCTCCAACATAGTCCAACTCTGCAAAGCGCTGTTTATAAGGTACGTCAGGACGAGGGTCTTTGCTCGGCAGGAGGAAGAGCCAGGCCGGAGCGGCAACGGCGCCAATGAAGAAATTGATATAGAACCCCCAGCGCCATGAATATTGTTGGGTGGCTCTTTTGAATCAATCTCGTCGGTTCGTCCATCTATATTTACTAATCCCCAAGCGGTTAGAACACCGAGACCTAACACGGATGATAGTCTACCCATAGGCAATCAAGCGTGCCAATCAAACCTCAATCCAAGCTGCCAAACTTGACTTGAAAGTCTCCCGGGCCAATCGAGAGATCCCAGTACATCAAGCCTCGAATCAAGCCCGTGCCAGCAGCATGCTTGGCCTGCTTCTAGCCCTCTCTGGCACTAGTTCTTGATCCTGGTCATAGTGTAGTGCTCACTTTGCCACCTACGGCACGGCAAGAGCATACTACTTGCTGAGATGAATGCCGCGGAACACCATGCTCGGACTCGCATGAACAAGACGGGAAGGTGCGCGTAAGCCGCAGAATGCGCGTGTCATTCCGAGCACCGAATCGGACTGCTGCAATTCATCCGTTGAGCACATGTCACTCCCTTGAATACGACCATTTCTAGACACCTGAGTCCACCTTCTCCACGCAATCCTTCTGCAAGACATGCCACCAGCACCTCAAATCCTTCCTGTGCCCAACCCCGTCCCCTCATACTGGCTCACTCCCCCCTCCAAACACGCTCGCCTGCGCTCAACATCCACGCTCCCTCAGTCATGCACCATCACCATCATCGGCTCGGGCATGGCTGGCGTACTAACTGTGTACCACCTCCTGCAGTCCGCAAACCCACCTAGCATTCTTCTCCTTGAAGCGCGAGACTTGTGTTCCGGCGCCACGGCGCGCAATGGCGGACACGTCAAAATCAAAACCGCAACGCTCGCTGGACTTTCGGGGAATTCGGAGCGCAACGCGTTGCAGACGTATGTCAGGCGCGTCATGAGTGATTTGGCGCGCATAGTCGAGTCAGAGGGCATGGGCGACGAGTGCGAGTTTGAATTGCGCAAGTCGTGGGATGTGTTTCTCGACGAAGAAGAATTCGAGCGTATTAAAGGCGTGTATGACGATGCGAAAGGCAAGGAAGAGGCGTGGACGGGGCATGTGAGATGTGTGGGGTCCGACAATGCTGCGCGGGAAACGAGTATCAAAGACGCGGTGGGTGCTTTCGAGAGTGAGATCGCAAGTCTTTGGCCGTATCGATTCGTGACGGGACTGGTGGACAGGATGCTGGTGCGGTATCCGGAGCGCTTGAATGTGCAGACCAATACACCCGTCACCCACATGGAAGAGATTGCACAAGGGACTCTACTGACGACTCCGCGCGGCACGCTGACGACCGAGAAAGTCGTGTTCGCGACGAACGCCTGGACAGCCGGCTTACTCGACGCATTCAAAGATACCATCACGCCAGTTAAAGGAATGGCATGCCACATCCGTCCGTCTCGCCACGTCGACGTGCATCTAAGCAACACGTACAACATCCATTTCGCGCCAGCGAGCAGTACGGGCGTCGACTATCTCAATCCGCGTCCTGACGGCGGTATCGTGGTTGGTGGCGGAGCCTGGTTTTTCAAAGCGCATGAAGCGCTCTGGAAAGGGAATTTCGACGACTCGGTGCGGTTTGCGGCGGGTGTGGAGAGACATTGGACGGGAGAATACATGCAGAAGACGTTTCAGGGGTGGGAGGATAGTGCGGCGAGTCCGGATTGTATTTGGACGGGTATTATGGGAGTGACGAGGGACGGGAAGGCACATATTGGGCGGGTGCCGGGACGGACAAAGAAACAACACTGGATGCTAGCGGGGTTTAATGGTGGCGGCATGTCGCTAATCGCGACGGCTTCGCGCGCCGTGGCGAAGATGGTGGTGGAGGATCTGGAGTACGAGGACGTGAGTGCTGAGTTCGGCTTGATTGAGGGATGGGGTACTGATGTGGAGAGAATGGAAGAAGATACTTCTTAGGTGGGAAATGAGTGTGGATTGTATTTGGGCGGGCATCGTGCAGTAGCATACTTCTCAAATGGAAGCAATAGAGAAAAAGCTTAAGGAGTGCAGTCTGGTTCGTATCTTGAATTTATCGTCGGACTGATGCTGAGCGTCGTTGTAGACAGTTCATAGGGAGCGATGAAGGAAACGATACTGAGTGCCAGCGGGGTTTTAAAACAACCACACGTCATTGGCGGACTACTTAACCAGTCTCTTTCATTGGAAAGAAGCTCAAGGAGTGAAATAGTAGACTCTACTTTACAGAGGCAGACTGATGCTCTTGATCACCTCTAATCTAAAGTCTCCTGGTCTATGCTAAAGATAAAGTTGTTAGTGAGATAATCAGCGGGTGGTATGCGAAGTTAAAAGGAATGACAAAGAAAGGATATTATATGCTTGCTAGCAAGCTAGTTAGGTTCGCTAGCGCAGAGAAAAGAGTTCGCGCTGACAGTATAAATTAGAGCAAGCTCTTATAATAAAAATATATTATATAACATTGCTGTCAGATATAGAAGATAGAGTAAAAGAAGAAAGAAGATTATAATATTAAGAGCTATAGATATGCTAGCAAATAGATATAGATAACTTATCTATAGATATAGATTAGATTATAGTTAAGTTATTTAACTTTAAGAATAGATTAAGTATATAGAGCTTAGGTTTAATATTAAGTTAAAGTTATAACTTATAAGTGTAAAGAATTATTATAGTAATATATATAAAATATATATTACTATCTTATTCTAGAAGTTAAATAAGCTTATTAATAGCTTTAGTATTAGCTTAGTTATCTCTCTTTTCTTCTTTCTGCTCTATTTGCCTATATTTTGTTATTCTCTATATTTAGCCTAAAATCTAGTTTTTAGCTAGTATTAATTAGGCTTATCTATCTAGAATGCAGAGTAATAGTAAACTAGTAAAGTTAGTTTACTAGAGCTTATATTAGTAGTTACTAGTCTATACTAATTAGTACTAGCTAGTATTTTAGCTCTATTCTAAGAACTACTAGTATAAGCTATTTTACTAGTCTAAGAGATTTATAATATAATAAGGGATTTATAAGCTATTAGAGCTTATTAATAATTATAAATTATTAGAAATTAATATTAGAGTTCTAAACCTTAGATTTTAGTATAGCAGAGCTAGGATAGTACCGGCTATAGTTAGATACAATAGTATTATATATACTATAGCTATCTCTAGAGTTAGATAGTACCTCTAATTTAATATTTTACCTATTATCTATTATTTGCTACTATTGCAAGTGTTATATAACTATTTTTATAGTTATCTATTATTACTTAATAGCTATCTTTCTATCTATAGAGAGTAGTAGTTATTTATCTTTATATTACCTACTACTTTCTTATAGGTTATAAGCTTAGAGGTGCTTATAGCTATTAAGAATTTTATTTACTGTTTTCTATTCTAGAAACAGGATAAAGCTTTATAGTATTATATACTATTAAAGTTATTTAGAGCTATTCTTAAGCTTGCTATACTTCTTTAGTCTTTATTAATTAGCTTTTAAGCTAGTTAATAATAACTAAAAAAGGATAAAGATAATAGTTTTACTATTATAAGATACTAGAAGAAACTTAAGTACTCTAGTAACTTATTCTAGTTTAAAAAACAGTATTATCTAAGATTATATTAAGACTTAGTCTCTACTTGCTCTACTCTAGAAATAGAGGTAATTTTAATATAGTTTACTATATTAAAATCTCTATTAAAATATATTTTATATATTTTAATAGGAATAGAGTTACTTAAGCAGATTACCTTAAGTAGCAGAGTTACTACCTATTTAAGATAAAAAGTATACTAGCTCTATCCCTAATAAGCGCATTTAGACTATATTATTAATTAATAAGTAATTTATTACTTATTAATTAGTAGTTAATTCTTTCTAGTTAAGGAAAAACTAGAAAGATCTAAATTATTATTATTAAGCGCAAAAATATATAATCTGCTGATAAAAGCCTACTTAGTAGCAATATATAATACTATATATATAGTATTATATATACTTTATGTCTATATAAAGAGGTGGATTATTAATATAATAAATATACTTAAAAACTATATTTCTAGAAACTTTTTACCTATAAGCTTCTGAGTTTTAACTCTGTATAAATTCTCTTTATTACTATATTAGTAAATTTTACTATATAGTAATAAAGAGTAAATTTTGCGTTAGGTAAAAAGAAGAAATATAGAAATATTACGTTATATTTATTATATTATTACTTTTATAGTCTATATTTATAGCTATATTAAGTACTTATTATAGATCTTTAAAAATAAGCTATATATTGCTTATAATAAGACTATAAAATTTTAAGCACTTTAGAAATTTACTATTTTCTAAGTTTGAAAATATAAAGACGCTAGCCTACTATAAAAAAGCAAAATATATAATATATATATTGTTAAGGCGCGTTAGTTCTGCTTAAGAAATAGACGCTAGCACTAGCGCCTAATTTATAAGAACGTTTTTAAAATCTGCTAGTTAAAAATCTATTTGCAATCAGCAAAATAAGATCGTTTAAGATTTTTTATAAAAATCTTATATTAACTAGCATTTAATATCTATATTATATCTATTCTATATAATATAGTATTATATATAGATATACGCTAAAATAAGCAATAATTCTATATTTAAAGTGCCTAAACTTAAAGGCTCTAGTAATTACGATATTTAGTCTATTAGACTAATAGCTATATTAGTAGAAAAAGAGCTTAGTAACTATATTTATGAAACAAATATAGAGCTACTTACTCCTAATAATAATAATAAAGCTTTAGCTATTATTAAGCTATTGTTAGAGGATAGACCTTTATTACAAACTAGATTTAAAACTACAGCTAAAACCTTATAGAATAGCCTTAAAAATCTATATAAAGCTAAAGGCTTTAGTAGCAAGTTTCTACTATCTAAAGAGCTTATTAATAACTCTTTAAATAGTCATAAAGAAAACTTAGAAGCTTATCTAAATTTATTTAAAAGAATTAGTAATAGCTTAGAAGCTAAGGATATAGAATTACCTCCTAAGTTTCTAGTTTCTTTATTACTTAATAATCTAAATAAAGATTATAAGTATATAGTAGCAGTTATTACTTAAAATTTAAGAGCTAATAGCTCTAATATTAATCTAGATAAGATTATAAGTAATCTCCTAGATAAGGCTAGAAGACTAAATTCTATAAAGTCTAAAAGCTATAGCTTTAGTGCTAATTACTCTAGTAATAAAACTAGTAGTAATAAGTCTTATAATAATAGTTATTATAATAACGTTAAAATAGCTATAAATACTAGTAACAAAACTAGTAATAGCTATAAAAGAAATACTAGTAATAAAACTAGTAATTCTAGTATAGTTTGCAGTAACTGCAAAAAGCAAGAATATTTAGAAAAAAGCTGCTTTCTAAAATATCCTTATTTAAACTCTAAAAATAAGAAAACTATTAATAATACTAAAGTTTCTAAAAAAGAAACAGTATTAGTAACTAATAGTTATAATAAAAAGCCTATAACTATAGACTTTATATTAGATAGCAGTGCTACTATATATACCTGCTATATAAAAGAGTTATTTAATAGTATTAAGCCTACTAATAAATATATTAAGTAGGGTAATACTAATAAGGATCATAGCTGCTAGTAGTATAGAAGATATTTCTCTATACTTTAGTAGTACTAATACGTTAATTCTATTAAAAGACGTATTATATATTCCTAAATTAGAAGTTAATCTATTAAGCGTTAGCTTAATAACTAATAAAGATTTAACTTTATCTTTTACTAAAAAGAGCTATATTATATATCTACCTAATAAAGCTATACTAGCTATAGGAGAATATAAAGAAGGCGTTATAATCTTTAAAATAAAACCTTCTAAACTAGTTAAGTCTATAGATAAAAGTAATAATACTTTAGCTATACTTAATACTTATACTAGAGAGGATATAGAACAATTAGAATCTAATAAAGAATTAGATCTAATTAATTCTAATTTAGAAGAAGATATTACTATCTACAAGGCTATAGATCTAGAAGATACTAGTATTATAGCAGATAGTAACTCCTCTAATTACTCTAAGAGTAATAATATTAATAATAACTCTAAAGAAGAGTTAGTTATTAATAATAACTTTATAGAGTTACTAAATAAAAGACTAGGACATATTAGTCTTAAATCTATAGAGTCTTTATCTAAAAATACTATTACTAGTACTTTAGATAATATAGATATAAAAGAAGATATAAATAAAGCAAAAGTTAGTTTAGATACTTGTATTACTTATATATAATCTAAACTAACTAAATCTCGTAGTACTATTTCTAGTACTAAAGTAGATGCTTATTTAGATATATTATATAATTGATATAGGTGGACCTATTAAGGCCTAAAACCTATAGAGGTTTTAAATACTATATTACTTTTAGAGATAGTTATACAAAATATCTAGATTATTAGACTATTAAAGTCTAGAAAAGATATTATAACTATTATAAAAGAAACTATAATAGGATTAGAATTAGAAGCTATAAATAATAGCTCTAATACTAATTCTATTTATAATAACTTTAATAATAATAAAGTTAAAGCTCTATAATTAGATAATGAGTTTATATCTAAAGAGCTAACTAGTTATTTAACTAGTAAAGGAATTAAAACTAGATTTTCTAGTTCTTATACTTCTAAGCAAAATAGAGCTGCAGAAATTATAAATAGAGTTTTATTTAATAAAGTTAGAGCTCTATTATTTGCTAGTAATCTACCTAAAAATCTCTAGAGAGAAGCTTTATATACTAGTAGTTATCTATATAATAGAACTCCTAATAGTTCTATAGGCTTTAAAACTCCTTTTGAGCTTAAATATAACTATAAGCCTAATATAGATAATATTAGAATATTTGGCAGTCTAGTATATACTAAGAGACCTGAAGCTTTTAGATCTAAATTAGA